AAAAAAATAATCTCCTCCAGCACCACAGCTCAAATGCATCAATTCTCCTTCTATCCTCCCTAGTCATTGTCTGACTCTCTGATGCATATCAAGGAAATTACATTGCTAACACAAAGGAGGCATCTCTCTGCTGATTCAAATCCAGCAGCAACTCTTGGAGAAAGAGAAACAATCTCCTTCTGTGCAGTTTATAGCTTCTCGACAGCCCACCAGAAAGGCAGCTATATCAGTTCCAACTTAATGACATTGAATTTGAGTTGAGAGCTCTTTGATATTTATGTGATTTTCCAGTATATTAAGAGTTAGGAAAATTAGAAGCTACTGGAGATAAATTTGATGTTTCTACCTCTAGGTGACCAGAGTTTCTTTGTACTTATGAAAAGTGATGAAGAGTCTCTTAAATATTTGGGCACTTTTCTTCAAATACTTACTGTATGGGCTTTTTGCTATTAGTGCCTGTTTACACGCAAGTGTTTTTTTATCTAGAGAAAATAACTCATGATTTTACCATAAACGTGGTTCATGAACATTTTCTACTTTTTTTTTATCCTGACCTTTCTATCCCTGGTCTAAGAACTTCACAGAACACTCTATTTTCTTGAATGTGTTTCTGTCTATTTAGCTAATGCTCAATATACCCTCCTATCTAGTTAACAACATATCTCTCTTCCAAGAGAGAAAAAAAAGAGAGAAAAATGGTGTTATACAAATGTAATAAATTCCTACATAAGATCTGACTAGCTGAGGTAGTGATCATCCAGTTACAATTCCAGCTGGCATTCTACAATATTTTTTAAAAATATGTGTTCTTCACAGTTTTCGTTAATAAATGTTTTTAGAAAATAATGATGGCCGATCAAAATAATTACATATGCATGCATGCGCATCAACCCCCCAACACACACAGACACACACACACACACACACACACACACACCCCATTACCTTGATGATCATATGTTATTCCTCAAATGCTTTACAAAAAATGTTCTGGTGAAATAGAGTGATATAAATGTTTTATATGTGGACAATAGCTAGTATTGGATAAATGTTGGATAATTAAAACTTCACCTAGGACAATGCAATAAACCCTATGCAACTATTCACAGCAATAAAAGAAACTGAGACACCAGCAGACCTTTTTGCTAAATTACAACTTATGAGTACAGCCTTAAATACTCAAAATCTTGGTAATAGGTACTTAATTTGTTTTTCTTCTTTATATGAAGCTATATAGGAAAGTATTGTATTGAATAAACATAAGATTGCATTTCAACTGTCGAATCAGAACAAAAAGAATAGATGAATCACATGTTTAATCGATGTGAGAAAGCCTAGTGTATACTTTTCACACTGAATCTTGAAATCCAAGGTCTTTAAGTACTTTCTACAAATTCTGTTAGAGAAAATTATAATAAAGCACTAGAAATTTTTCTATGAGATATATAAGGAATGGACACAATTTAGGGAGAAATTTGGAATTGTGTTGACAATCTTTAGGTTTTTTAAACAAAAACTAAATGAATATATTTTTGCTACTCAATAACCTTATATGTAATTAACTATATATTTGTTATCCTATAGCAAACACAACAATAAAAACATATACTCGTCACTTGTTTGTTATTATCGCTTATTATAAAAATAAAACTATCAGAGATATATTTACATTTCCATAGTGTGATGTTTTTAAGTAATCACAGATTTTATTTTCAGCAAACATACTCCTGTTCATACTAAAAAAGAAATATTTAATCTAATTGTAAATGTAAACAAATCAATTTTAGTTTTAAGTTTCAGTTTGCTTATCAATGATAAGTTCAACTTGTTAAACTTTTTGTTTAGACAGATACTGTTTCCAAATGAACAATTTCTTTGTAATCTTCCTTATAAAGGCATTGAGATTTGTTTATAAAAGGTATTCGTTCAATCCTTTTTTGGTTCTGATAATTGGGTGTTCATGCTTTTGTATGTATGTACCTCCTTTACAATTTGTTATGTCAGCACTTTACCTGTCTGATGTGAGGGAAATAAAAAGTGTTTGTTGATAAATGGCCCACTGACATAAATCCTAAAAGAGTAATTTCTACTTGGGCACTGCATTAAAGGGACTTATTAACCTGGTGTACAAAGCTACCTTTGAAATGTGTAACTGTCTTCAAGTTTAATCTTAACTGTGTTTCAGATAATTCAGATAGTCAGTGCTGCAGACCGAGATCTTTCACCTGCTGGGCAGCAATTATCCTTCAGATTAGCACCAGAAGCTTCTATCAAACCAAATTTTACTGTTCGTGACTTCAGAAGTAAGTTTAAATACATAAAAATTCATCTTTTTTCATATAGCTTTGTAAAAGGACACAAAAGTAGAATTGTTTTTCCTGAAAACACTTAAGTATATTAACTATGGAAAGTTATGTTAGAAAATTTTTGTTTTCTGCAGTTTATTAATTTACATTAATTAAATATTTTGCCTATGTGGACTATGTTTAATGATAGCAGTCCTCTTTATTTACAATATGGAGAATTCCCTATTGAGTTTAACATACAGAAGACTGTGAATCTGTGAGTTCTTCACTTGTTCTATTTATTATTAACACCACTTGTACATTGCCTTTGCTTACGAATAGTAAACTGATTTAGATTTAGATAGCTGTTTTACATGAATAATAACTGCTATATTAATAATATGTGCTGTGACATTACACTAATACAAGTTTGTATTCCAAATAGATTGTTCCCTAAATACTATTCTTTTCAAATCTAAAATTGGACTAACTCATTAAAACCTGAGTATTTCACCAGACTCTTAATGTAAGCCTAAAATGCTTTTATTGAAAGATTATTTTATTTACTATTGTTTCTTTGACCTATTGGTAAGAAGCTGCACTGCAATTTCAAAGGTATGCAGTTTAAATTCACCAGCTGCTCATTGGGACATATATGTTTGATCTCCTCCCATGAGATTTACTGCTTTTGAAAGACTCCTAGAGGGTCAGGTATCTCAACAACAGAAAACAACAATATTTGCCTCATTTAATTACTACTATTATCATCATTAAAAACAAAGCCAAAAAAGCCCAAAAAGAACTATTATTTTTGTTATTAGTGGTTTATATGCTACTATAAAAGACATTTGTTTAAGTATACTTATTAGTTTTCACAATCTTTGTTTCAATTTCTATATTTTAAGTAATGCTGTTATTGGTTACCATTGAGTCAAGCACAAGCCATAGTGACCCTATGAACAAAAGGCCCGAAGCCTTTCTATAAACTGTCATCATTTATCAAAGTTCATATAGTTTACAGAGGCATGTTGTTTACGAAGAGTAATAGCAGAAAAAATTGGAGTTTATCAATTGAATAGTTATAAACGTGATTATTTTGCCACTATGACTTTGATTAAAAATACAAAATATACTATGTCCTACTAGAATGTGCTCTTTGGAAACAAAGATTGTGAAGTTTCACCTTTCATACTTTGGACCTGTAGCTGGGCAAATGTATTCCTTGGGAATGAATGTCATACTTGAAAAGGTAGAAGGGCCATGAAGGACAGAAAGAGACTGAAGATGGTCTGACACGGTGACTTCAGTTCAAGTGTGTCAGAGATGGTGAGGATGGCACAGAATTGGCTCTTCATGGGGTCACTATGAGTCATACTCAACAGCATCTACTAACTATATCTTGGTATGAACAAGCAAGATAACATTGAATGGTTCGAAATCAAGGAAAGAGTGCATTGGGCATGTGTCCTTTCTTCATACATTTCAATCTGCATGAGAAACAGATAAATCAGGAGGCTGAATCGTATGAAGCGGAATGTGCCATCAGGATGAGAAGAAAACTCATTGATAGTCTTCACTATGCAGCTGATGCCTTGCTCAATGAAACTGAAGAGTGCTTGCATCATTTGCTGCAGAAGGTAAAGGATTACTGTCTTCAATAGAGATTGAAGGCCAAAATAAAGAAAACAAGAATTATAATCAGGACAATTGGCAACATCTTGAGAGATGGATAAACCATAGACTCTGTTAACAATTTCATGTTCCTCAGATCCACAATAAACCTTCCTGGCACTGTTGTTGTTGTTGTTGTTGTTGTTGTTATGTGTTGTTGAGTTGCTTGCGACTCATAGTGACCCTATGTACAACAGCCCTAAACTCTGCTGTGTCCTGTGCCAACTTCACTGTCTCTGACACTCCCATCCCAATTACTCCAGTCACTGAATAAATCCACCTCTTAGAGGGCCTTCCTCTCCTGCGCTGTCCCTCCACCCTCCCAAGCATGATGTCCTTCTCCAAGGACCGGTCTCTCCTCACAATATGTCCAAAGTATGTTAGACGGAGACTCAGAATCCTTGCCCTCAAGGATCCACCTGGTTTAAACCTTTCCAGGATGAATATGTTTGTTTTCCTAGCAGTCCATGGTACGTACCCCTAATACTCTTCTCCAGCACCAAAGCTCAAAGGCATCAATTCTCCTTCTGTCCTCCTTGGTCATTGTCCAACTCTTTGATGCATAACAAGTGATTGCAAAGACCATGGCCTGTATCAAATGCACCTTAGTCTCCAGAGAGACACCATTGCTCTTCAGTACTTTGGAGAGGTCCCTAACAGCAGACTTTCCTGTGTAACTGTGGAGCTAAACAAACTAAAACTGTGAACAATCTCAATCTCTTCACCATCTATCCAGATGCTGCCAATTGGTCCAGTGGTGAGAATCTTTGTCTTCTTGACATTGAGCCTCAATCCATATTGGAGGCTGCTGTCCTTGACCCTCTGCAACACTTGCTTCAGGTCCTCCTCAGTTTCAGCAAGCAGGGTTGTGTCATCTGCATAACGCAGATTGTTGATAAATTGTCCACTAATCTTGACCCCACATTTCTTCTCATAAAGCCCAGCCTCCCGGATAATCTGTTTTGCATACAGGTTGAAAAAGTATGGAGAGAGGATGCATCTCTGGCGTACTCCCTAGTATTAAGAAAATAAAGACAAATTTCTTTAGGAAAATCTGCAGCCAGGGACCTCTCAACAGTACTAAAAAAAAGCAATGATATCAGTCTAGAGACTAAAGTAAACTGATCCAGACCATGGTCTTCTCAACTACTTGTTATGCATCAGACCAATAGACAGTGATTAAGGATGACAGAAAAGAAATTGATGCCTTTGAGTTTGGTGCTGGAGAAGAGTATTGAACATACTTTGGACTACCAAGACCTACAAACAGGTCTATCCTGGAGAAAGTGAAATCTTATAAATTGTTGAGGGTAGCCAATCCTCTTGTGTGCTGATAGGTAATAAATCCTTTGGTGTAATAGCCAACACACCCCATTTGCCTAGTCTCTCCAGTCCATATGAGTCAATTATCCATATTCAAATAATGCTGGAAAAATCATATTGGGAAAAGCCATTGAGGAAGACAAACTGAATAGGTTAATAATAGTAAGTGCAAACAATGAAACTTTGATTGAGATGGATTTATACAATTTTTACAACAATAAATTAAAATATCTCAATGACCTGATTATGGCCCAAGACTGGTCATACATTTTGATTTCCTATATAGCATCATTTTTATACCATATGATTATCTGATTCAAAGTGGCCAAAGATGGTCCATCGCATCTCACTAATGCCTAGTATGTCAATATTAATGTGTCACATGTCATTTTTAATAATTTCCAGTTTTTCAACATTCAAGCTATGAACATTCCATGTTCCAATTATTAAATGATGTTTGTTACTGATTTTCCTCCTTTCAACTGACTTCCAGTCTGGGCTCTACCATTTAGCTACTACAGCTATCCTTTTTGTTTTGTGTTCATAGGCTTTTCAAAAGTTTATTTTTAGGAAGTAACTGGCCCATTCTGCTCCCTAGTCTCTCTTGATCAGGGAACTCCTCCAATATCTGTCTGCGGTGGGAACCCTTAGGACATTTGACACACCAGGGGCACAGATTTCAATATAACAGCAACCTGAAGTAATCTCAATACAGCAAACTGAGACAAGTGCTGCACCACTTAGAACAATGTTCTCTTCAAACGCAATTTATACCAGGCCTGAGGGCCCAACTGACTTTTAAATACAAAAGGCCTGCCCACCAGATCCTGTTTGCCTACACAAAAGGCTTCCCACTTACAGCTGAGTTTATGAAATCAGAAATAATCAGCTCACACCCAACATAGCTGTGTGGATCATGACATGTTCTTGTGACTGACATTGAGATATGGGAATTTCATAGCACTTGATTATGCTTATATGGAACATATACCTGGATCAGGGGGCTGTTTTGAGAACTGAGCAAGGGAACCCTTCATGTATTCTCTCTATATATCTATTCAATCTGTATACTGAGCAAATTATATGAGAAGCTGGACTTTATGAGGAGAAGTGT